ATATTCACATACAGACATATAATTATATAATATATCTAAGTCATTTAACCTCGTATGTCGAAGACTTCCGCAGCCGTGAATACAAAAATTCATCACACAGATAAATAGATGAAGGTAGAAAGAAACAAATCATTATTATATAATATTATGTTGTACTAGCGACTCGCCATCGCTTCGCTCGGGTTCGTCCCTAGGTACGTTTTTTTTAAGTGGAACCCTAATTCTTTTTCTAAAATAAAAATCCCTATAACATCAGCTATCTTCCAGTGAAAGTCTCGTCCAAATCAATCCAGCCGTTTCAGAGATTATCCGGAACAAACAGACAGATAGACAGACAAAAATCTAAAAAAAAATGTTTTTCTTAAAAGCACCGTATATAATTTCATATGCATTTAGTAAAACGCTGTTATTTTGACATTACAAACAGACACTGCAAATTTATTTATCTGTATAGATAAAGATTTTATATAATCTTAAATTACACGATAATTATAGATAGTATTTCTTTGATGGAGTTAATGATTTAATCCATTCATAAAATATGTTTGTTGAAATTTATTATATTAGAAAAGTACCAGCCAGTGAATTTTTAAGATCTTGTTGGTTAAGGACAGAAAGGTAATATTGGAGTTATAGTATGTTATTTTATATTTTTTAGAATCATGCTAGAATAATGTTTTCATAGCGAAAATTTGTGAGTGCATAAGTATGTCTGTTACTTTATTATGGTATAAAGGCTCAACGATTTGAGCGAATCTTGGAATGGAGAAAGTTTATATCTTTTGTTAACATGCAGGCTTCTTTATATCGATATACTCATAACGTGAGTATAAAATAACTGAACATGTCAGTGAGACAAATATTCAACATAATTCGTTTTCATGTAACAATATTGAAATTGTTGAATTATTTCAAAATGTAGGCTAACTCGTTTTAACGCTGACCGCCAGACACAATCCTTTTATTTTTATGATAGATTATAAATATAGGGCAGTCAAGAGTTAAAAGCAAAATGTCCCGCCGCGGACGCTTTAATTTTTATCTAGCGCTGAGTTTATTATTTTCAGTCTTTTATCAATTTTATTTGTTAGTAGTGGCTCAACGTCGCTTCGCTCTGGCTCGTCTCTAGAAAAACAAAAACAAATCTATCCCACGGGAACCGTACATTTTTCCGGGATAAAAAGAGGCCTATGTGTTATTCTGATGTATGAGCAACATATTGTAAAGTTTCATTAAAAACCATTCAGTAGTTTTTGCGTGAAAGAGTAACGAACATCTATACATTCAGACATCAAGACATCTACACATCCTCACAAACCTTCGCATTTATAATATTAGTAGGTTGTAAAATCATATTTTAAGAAAGCAAAAACTGAAACTAAAGAAAAACATTGCTTTATTTCTAGCAAAATGTAAAAGATTTCGTGTGAAACTTTTATTTTTATATTTCTCAGTAATATGTTACTGAGAAATATAAAAATAAACAGAAAAAACATCACTCTTTGCCTGTTGAGTTCTTGATTAGCTCAACTACTCTCTGAGTTAATTGAAGATAGCAGACTAATAAAAAAATAACTCTAGCGCGAATCCGGCTCCGTATCATGACAAACACATAGTTTGAAGTTACATATTTACAGATAAAATAGGATTTGAATTAAATAATAACTCCCAATTCCTATCGCAAGTTATACTCACACTGGCCAGTTTTTATTATTTCTTGTTATACCTTATAGTTTGCTCTATATCAAATCAAACTTAACGCGTGTATATGTTATAGTTATTACGATTGAACAATAATGAAACGCTCTTTCTTATTATGGATAGGTTCCTTATTGTTTTATTATTTATTACAATAATTTGCAATACTAACATAATATTCAGAAAATTTTCTAAAACGATTTCTAAAATTAAACCCTGTAACACTGACTAAGATAATAAATATAATATAAATAAAAAACACGATAATAATATCATTTTTATCTGAAAACGATTGAAATTTTATTTTGTAACAGGTGACAAGTGTATAGCGAACCTATCGCTGTTCGTTATCACCAATGCCATCAGTTAGCTTAACTCTAGCTTCATATAACCGTTCACGGTGTTATGAATTTTAGTTGGATTTCGTGCTAACACCCCATTGCCGCTTGTTAACTATTATTTCACTTACAAAGCTGAATCGAGTTCAAATAAATTTATTAAATATTGGTATCGTGAAGTTTCATCAGTGCCAGCTCTTAGATTTTACTCTCAGTTCTATATATCGTACTAGCGACTTATGCTTGCTTCGCTCGTGTCCGTCCCTTACGAGCCTAAACTAGCCTATATATTTCTCCAGGTCATCTGTGTACTAAATTTCATCTAAATCTGTTAAAGCATATACAAACTTTCACCTTTAATACATATATATTAATAAAAAGAAAAAAGTAATCCTATATCGTAAAATTATAATGAACCCAAGGGACTACGCTAGAGACTTTTTAGGGTGAAATGGATACACTTAATCGAAATTACTTTTACTTAAGTGCTTTAAATTTATATAACCTTTATAATTTAAAAAAAAGGTATTGTTTAATTCACGTATAACAAACTAGCAAAACCCGCGGCTTCGCCTGCATTGAAAGTACAAAAAAAACAGTCTTCTTTCCCTTCCCTTTATAATAGTTAATAATGTATGTAAGTCTGACCGATTCGTTGACATTTATGATTACTTCTCTTCTTCTCCCTTGGGTAGTAGCATGATTATACATAGCCTATAAGCTTTCTTCAATAAACGAGCTATCGAATACAAAAATAATTTTTCAAATCGAATTAGTTGTTCCTGAGATTAGCGCCTTCAGACAAACAATTTAACCAAACTCTGCCTCTTTATAATATTAGTATAGATTAAAACTAGTTTTGGCAATATCAAATTGATAAAATACTTTTAATGTTAAAACACAAATTATAGTACTAAAATAACTTAGAGTTTACAGAATAAGCTAATCGTTTTCACAGAATGTGCGTGAACATAAGTGAGAAAAAAATATTTCTCTTTTTTTTCTTCACTTTTGAAATAATATATATTTTTTGTCCATTTTTACATGGATTTCGTTAAAATGCTGTACACAAATTTTAACTGATATTTTTTAACCCCTGACGCAAAAACTACGGGGTTTTAAAATTTAGACGTGTATGTGTGTGTATCTGTCTGTCTGTGGCGTAGCTTCCGAATGGATGAACCGATTTTGATTTTGTTTTTTTTTTGTTTGAAAGGTAAATTAGTCAGGAGTGCTTTTAACTATGTTTGATAAAAATCGGTCCAATACGGTCGGGGTTTTTTTTTTAATTTTTATTTTATCACTTGTATTGTACAACATTTTAGTCGAATTTAATATAATTGCTAACGAAAATTTATTTAGATACGACTAGGCCTTACAGGAGCAATCAAGACTTTAGTTATCTTTTTAATATTATGGTATACCTTAGCTTTATTACTTAATTCAATATTGATTTCTGTCAGCTTATATACGAATATTGAGCAACGAATGATACTATGACAGTACTTTTTCAATCAAACCCTATATATATATATATACCCTATATATATATATATAACCCTATATTATATATATATATATATATATTTATATATATAGTATATGTATATAATATACAACGTTTGATAACATACGATTTTTTTATTGAATTTTATCAGTAAACCGTTTCACGATAGGTTATTTAAGCGCTGTTTTGTTTACATCACTAATCCAAAAGTATAGACGCCTAGAAATATTATGTCAAAATTTATTTTATTATTTTTTGTTATTTCACATTCTTTCTTCATGAAACCGTGAAGAAATTGGCTGCGACCTCTTAATTATTCTTACAGAAGTACTGTGACCCTTAAAATCTTTTAAAACCAAGCCAAGCGTTTATGATAAGGAGAAAAATATTGCTAGGTATATCCGAATAAAACAGCAAAATATGAGCCGTTCTGGCATCATGACCCTGTTGAAATTTTTCTCTATATTTATATAAAAATATATGGTAGAATGATTAATTAAGGCTGTTTGCTTATAACGTGCACTTTCTATACTATTTATTCAAGTGCGACGAAACTTTTATCCGTATGCACGATGACATAGTGTAGTAACATATCATATTATTATAATAATACGTGAGGTAGGTTATACATAATATATATATATATATATATATATATATATATATATATATATATATATATATATATATATATATATATATATATACATATAAACAAAATCACTGAGAGTATATACAAGTATAATAGACATCAAATTCGGAACTATAATTAAACGCGCTTTTACGCCGTACGCGTCTCTTTACCTCTCTGAGTTACGTACACCCTCTCGTGGCCTCTCGCTATAGTTGCATAGAGTACCTATAGGTACATATATTATTCTTTGGTTGTGTCGAATTGTCGTCCTACTATATTATGAGAGCAAAAAGAATAGAGAGTGGCATCTGAGTTTTCGCTTTTGTCTATAATATGTATATCTCGCTTTTGTCTATAATATATTGTATTATAATATACCTATCTCCTACGGTGGTGTATGTTTATACTCTTACTTCATATGTTTGTATGTATCTTTTAATATTACGCATTTTTTAATATCCTACCATGAAAAGTGCCGAATGCGAAGTTTGGTCGACCAGGTACTGTTTAGGTATAATACTTGTAACTGTCACGGTGGTCTAGTGGTTAGTATGTATGTATGGCTGCAGATTCGAAGGTTTTTATTGTAAAAAAACCTATTTTTTAGTTACCTGTATTATAGTAGTTAAAATGTAAGACTGTTGTTTCGACTTCTACTTCACCTCAAACACTTATTCCACCATCGCTAATCAATTAATTTGTAATCAATATAACCATATTTTTTACTTATATATCTATTGTATATCTAGAAATTTAACCTGTTAGATTAATTATTGATATATCTATTAATTTAAATTAAACTAATAATAAATGTATTTTGTAGCATACGGCAACCTGGGTAGCGTACTAACAACGCAAGGAAGACTTACTGAAGCGGAAGTAGCATTCGAAAAGGCGCTCAAATATCGCCCCAATATGGCAGACGTTCACTATAATCTGTAAGTACATTTTAATAAATAACACAACATTTATTACGTGAAAATACGAGAAAGCCGACGTGTGCTTTTCGCGTGTATTTATATTCATCGCATAAATTTCGATTTCACGCTACGTATGCGCGAGTTATGGGCGTAGCGCGTTATGAAAATTGGCGGAAAACACGTCCCATTACCAAAACAATAAAGATTATTATCTGATATCTATTTTTTTCGATTAATCATCCACATGTTAATAATAAATTTAGTTTTTTACATATACTATTTTCATTATCTTCTTATAGATGAAAAGGTTATCGATAAATGTTAAGTAATCGACCAACCAAGATTTAAAAATAAGTTTATGTTCAAAAATCAATGAAAAGTTACATTTATAAAGAAATATTTTCACAAACTTTCACTATTGTAGCAATAACGTCATTATAAATTATGGTATTACAATCGAAATTTCTACCTAATAGTTTTACATGGAAATATGTTTGTTGTCAAAATTTAAAGTTACACTTTTTAGACAACTACAACTATGCTTGTACGTATAGGAACTCCTATCGTCTCGGTCAAGATAGGGATGAAAAACGGAAAACGGAGTTGAGAGCTACAAAGTTCCTTTTCCCGCAAGATATAAGCGTGAATATGCAGAAAATGCTAGATAGAAATCTACTAATTAGTATTTTAAAACCATAAATAAGTAAATTTTTCATACTAAATAGTTCAACTTTTTCAAATACAATACGTTTTAAAATTTTATTGTGTTTATAAAATACAATATATAAAACTATTTCATTTAAAGGATAAGGAAATCAGCTCTTTCTATTCAGACAAAACTAAATACTGAAACCAAATATAAACTACTAGCATTGCCCGCGGCTCCACCCGCGTTCAGATGACCAACAACCAAATTCTTAGGTTTTACATATTAATATACTCTTACACTGCTGTTTTTGTATTTTTTCTCAGAAATGAGACATTTTCCCGCGGTAAAAAGTATCCTATATGTTGACCCGGATAACCAGCTATCACCAAACCAAATTTCATCAAATTGACTTCAGTGGTTTTTCTGTGATGCGGTAAAAGACAGACAGACAGACAAAAATTATAAAAACTATAGATTCGGCCTCTGTATCGATAATAACGTTTATTTCAATTAGATTTTCCAAAAAATATTTAATGTACAGATTCGGCTTAGTTACAATTTTATTATATGTAGGTATAGTATAGATATATGTATAATATAATGTGTAAACAATCAATGTATTTACTATAAATATAGGGATGGATGAATAGTTATTGATGTTTGCACCACTCTCGTTTATTCGTAATTTTGTAGTAAAATACTGCATGTTTATAAAATATTTCCAATCAAAATGTCGTTTTATGTCATCTGCGCAGTAATTTCTGATTTATAGACGATTCGAAAATATTATGATAGTAGCATTTATTTGCACGTCACGTTATTTAATCAACAATTGCTTGTACATAAACAACAGTAATTAACATTATAATATGTAAAATATTTTTAATGTGTTTTATCAACATTTACATTTCCGAATTAAAATGAAATTCATCATATCTATACCTATATAATAATAATATAAGTACTGAATCGATTTTACTAAATTTTATGTAGTGATAGCTCATTTGCTCGGGTCAATTTTTAAGATACCTTGTACTATAGGAAAATCTTTCATTCCCACGGGAAAACACAATAACTGTTGCTATCGAGTCGTTCTTAGAAATATACTTGTCTAACGCTAGCTAAACCTTAAGAGATTCATCAAAACAATGTACTAGAAAATTGTAAGCCTTAATAAAGGTCTACAGAAAAATCTGCAATAGCATAAATCTTTCTCTCAAGGTACACTCGCAATAACTATTCATATCTATTTGAAACGTACCTATGGATGCACCCGAGCGAAGCGAGAGTAAGTCAGTAGTAATGAAATTAATGCTTCTAACTCCTTTACCGTGAACATTATATTGTTAGTTACACATCAAGCGTTTAAAATGTTCGATAATTATCGAAAATCTGTTATCACTAAGGCAAATTGTTATTGAAAGTACCTACACGTAATTAAAGAAAAGGTGACAGCTTCTGATCGGATCAATTAATAATGCTGTCAACTCCGATATCGAAGGTATATCGATAATTAATATAGGATTCTGCACTTACGTAATTATATATTATATTGTCGATGTAATCTATAAAGTGCGTAGCCAATTATCTTTTTAATCTTTATAGTCTTTATATTCTACACTTTCAGCAAGTATAAACCTTGTACGGCTCCGACTGCATTATACTATACGAGTATATGTTCGTACATGATCTTTGTCCCATTTTAACTTTTAACGCAGCCAGATTTTATTACTTATTTATTATTTTATTACTTTTATATTTTTATTTATAGCTTTTTAGTTTAGGCCAGTTAAGTTAAAGATATAATCATATATTTTTGTGATCATCTGTTAATTAAAATTGTTCATTTTAATACCACACTCGACAGGGTATTTTTGCATTGTTACAAGATTTTGCATATCCTGTACTCGTGTTATTAAGACAAATATAACGACGTGTAATTCATCAAAATTTGATAAGCCGTTTAGTAATTATGAGGGAATATAGTATCGGGCATGTAGTCAAGTACAGGTAAAAAGAATAAACAAAGAACTGTTTCTCTTTTATAATATTATTGATGATTCTTGATGTTCAGGAACACAATTTTAATCAAGTCATCATGCTTCATGTTGATATCAAAAATTTCGATTTACCTTTTTAGGTATACAGTAAATAATATAAAAAAAATATGTGTTATTAAAAGTTTAGAGGGAAACGTGTTTGTGCCGATTTCGTTTAAAGACGCTAAATCGATAGACAGACAACGCCAGCTGTCCCATTAATTCACGAGGGTTCGAGTTCTTGAATTAATCGGGTACGCTCCTCTGCCACCTAAGCGTTGGGTTTCCGTGCAGTTTCACAAATTAACGTCAAGCCATACGATCACACAATGTAATTACTGGAAACGACAGCGTACGGTTAAAGTTTTTCCACAATAATTTGTGCTCCGTTTTATACTGCTTCACAGTTATTTCATTAAAAATGCACAAGGTAAAAACAAGGTTTTTGTAAATTCAACAAAAGCTTTGATACCCTGATTCTATGTGAAAGTAAATAGAATCATTATCATTTATGTTCTTCTATACGTATAATAAAATTCTGAGTCGAATCTTGACATTAAATATTTTTGTGGAAAATCTTATTGAAATATTCATTATCCCTCTACGACCGCGGACACCCCGAGTCAATCACCCCGAGTTGTCAGTTAACAATAGATTTCTTAGAATTTTCATTAATTTCTTACAAATTTACCTGGAGGGATTAATTATTATGCACATAGAGGCCGAATCTATAGTTTTTAGAATTTTTGTCTGTTTGTCTGTTTGTGACCGCATCACGGAAAAACAATTGGATGTATTTTAATGAAATTTGGTATGGTGATAATTGGTTATCCGGGTCAACATATAGGATACTTTTTACTGCGGGAAAATATCTCAACTCTGAGAAATCTATGCTAAACCTTAAAACGTAAGTAGGGATGAACCCGAGCGGCGCAAGGGTGATCGATAGTTTTCTATATACCATATTATTATAATTGTAATTGCTTTGTTTTTTTTCCCTGGTAGAGAAAGAGAGTATAGATATTTCTGTTTTATCAAAACTTATTTTAGTTCAGCGTCCCTCTTTAAATCGCACCTGTACCTACCAATCAAATACAATAACAACTAAATATAATTAGTTTTGGTCCAAGCTCTGACTAAGAATGTCAAAAATTACTCTAGTTTAATTAGTCTATTACTAAGAATAATACATATAAAGCATTCTATTAGTCATATAAAATCAATTCGGTTTTATGTATTACTCATAACATGACGTTTTAGAAAATTCACGTTATAATTTGGCCTTTGAACAATCGTACTAAATGACTCTAGAATAAACTATGATATATTAATAATGTCCTCCCGATCGATTTCGGTCAGGACGGCCAATCTCATTGAGACTATCCATCTCCGTAGGAGATATTATAGTGCAGCGCGTGTGCGCACAGACACAAGTGCACTCTCTATTCCTGTCACTCTCATACTCCGGTGGGACGACTGCTCGACACGACCAGTGAGAGTCAAGGCGCAGAACCAATGGCTTTACGTGTATTTCTAGGCACGGAGGTGAAACATCGCCAACTTCCCAACTCCGGGCTGTTACTAAGGTTTATTAAACAGATAGACTCAGTAACTAAACTTGGCCCCACCCGGGACTCGAACCCGTTTTTGAAACGACCAGTAATATGGTGGATATATTTATTAGATGTAAATATGCAGCGGCTGTATAATAAATAGGGTCAACCAGATTATCACGCTGTAACCCAGTGAATTCATTAACTTAACTATGCGTTTTTATTTAATACATATTTTTTTTGGTGGATATTTAAATAATTTTAAGATTTTGAAGTATATTTACAAGTTCTAATTATCATAATTCCCTTTAGGTATTGGAATGATTCTGTTTTATAACGATAGTATGAATATTTATATTATTTGTATAAATGTTAATATACTATTGAAATGTGAAATAGGTGAAATTTTAGCACAGGTAAGCCGTTCCAAAAATATACGATTTTTATATACGTATTAATGCAGAAAGAAATAAAGCTATTATCATATATATTTCCAAAAGAACATTTATGCATTTAAAAACATTAAATGCATGTAAAATTGTAGCAAAATAATTTTAAGGTAAAACTTCTTGTATGGACCCTTCGCCACATTCCAATTATACATATGTAAAACAACACTAAAATGGTATTTTTTTTATAAATTAAAATTGGCTCATAGCAAATTTAAATAAAACGTTTATAATAATATGTTGAAGGCAGATTACATAAAGCCTACAAGCTGTTTTTGCGTTTAGATTGACACTGGAATATTGTATTAGTATCATTTAAATGAACGAA